CACACTGCAACTGCATACAGCCAGCCGGGGGAGAACTCCCCCAGCACAGGCCCACTCATTAGGCCTGCCACAGGCAGCATCCTGGGTGCAGAGCCAGGAGGGTGGTAGGAGCTGTGCAGCGCTACATACATCCTGCTGGGGGCTGCTTCAGCCCCCATGGCAGCCCAGAATTGGGAGGGTGCAAAGTTGTCTTGGGGTTCCCAAAAGGCATATCACAAAATCTAATTCTATACTTTTTATCTTAAAGAAATGAAGTCTCCTTTTGCAATGCTCGAAGAGAGTGAAAATAACTTCACTGTCACTTCCTGGCTTTTTAATTTCAAGTCAACCAGGTGGGTTTCCTGGGCCAGCAATTCCGCCTACAATATTGCTTTTGAGGTGTCTTGCTGCGTTCACCAGGGTCACTATGACCTGTTGGAATACAGCAACTACATTTTCAAAGAGTTGCCTGGGTCTTTAGTCACACACGTCCCTTTAAAGTCAAAGGGTCTTAGATCAAAAAATCATTGTGTGTTTAATTACCCGTGCAACTCCTGAAGAAATTTTAAGAGACCACATTTACGTTATATTCTCACTTTCTCCTTAACGTAGCCAAAGATTTATCAACCCATTTCTTTCTTGAGCAAACTAAGTTTTCATGCAGTGTATTAGCACATCATTCACTACTAGCACTGGCCTTGACAATTTTTCACTATTAGCATTGGCCTCACAATTTAAAAATTCTACCCTTCGCTGTGCTAGGTATCTTGGTCTAGATCATCAGCTGGTGTAAATTGTCAATGGAACCAGGCTGATTTACACCAGCTGAGGATCTGGCTCATTATTTCTAAGCAAGGAAGAGACTTAACAAAAAATAACCAAATTCTCTATCCTGTCTAACATTTATCCAAACAGAGTGTCATTATAATAGCCCACATCCAACAGCGCTTCTTCTTCCAAGTGCTGTATCAGCACAAATATCAGGTGAAACCTGATGACAGAAAATTAATTCAGACCCTTTCCCAAAGGTATTTTCTGTGTTGTCATTGTAAGGAATCTTTGTCTGCTTAAACAGAGAAGTATTTGCTATTCTGTGAGCAAATTAAGGTCCTGCAGTTAAAGGAAGTCACCTTTGCTAAAGGTTCTCTATCCATCATCTAAGGGTCAGATCCTATATGGCCCAAAGCATAACCTGAGAAATGCTGAGTGCCCTCCTCTGCAAATCTCAGTTAAAACAAATAAGCACTCGGCCTCTTTTAGGATCAGGTTCTAACATACAGATATGACTGGCTAAATCCAACATCCACAAAAACCAAACGTCAGAGTTCATTGTTTATTTACTTTACCTTGATTTGATTTAATTTATAGTTAGATTTTTTAAAATGTTTCTTCCAATGCTCTAGACCACAGGTTCTCAAACTGGGGGGCATGCCAGGGGGAAGAGGGGTTGAGACGCTTTAGGGGAAAAAAAACGAACTGAGCACATTTTACCCACAGCAATAAATAACTAACAAAGCTGATTCCTCCCGACAGATCAGGTCCTCAGGTGGCGCTGTGCATTCTGACAGATTTCTGGTAAGCTTGCCTAGCATCATACAAAGTTGTTGCCCTCTATACATTAATCCGTTTGCTATGATGCAGTGTATATATTTAATTGTAAGCACTGACTACAACTAGAGTTTTGCTTTTTCTCTTATTACAATGGATCCTTGGCTCTGTTTGAATCAATGCCTTACTGTTTTTAATAGTTAGTAAGAGTTGCGTGTTGATTTTTTTTCAGTATACATACTTGCGTAGTGGAGGTGGGGGGAATAAACTACTACAGACGCACAGACGGGGATACGATCAAATCAGTTTGAGAACCACTCATCTAGACTCATCTACTTACATTATAAAAATGTACATAGGAAGTAGGCTCTAGAGTTCCTAAATAGGAAGGTCCTCCTAAAATCCCACAGCTTAAAAACCCTCAGATTTCAAAACAAGCCTTTCCCATCAACCTCACCCACTTTTCATCCCCCTTGCTGCCTAATATACCGGAGAGCTTTACTTGTTATGAAACCTGGAGGAAATAAATTCAGGTTAACTGTAATTCCAATCTCGATGTAGACTCATACCACCCCAGCAGGGCATTCGTCTTTGTGGTTTTCGGTTTAGACCTATCTTTAATTCCTGGTTCTACAGGTCCTTTTTTTTTGGGGGGGGGGGGGTCTTCCTTGTGCTACCCAGGCCTTTAACAACTTATAGTGGTTTGTATTTCTTTCTTCCCTTCCCTAATACTGCTATAAGAGGTTTGTGACGGGTTGGATCACAGAAACCCCCTTGTGACTGCCAACTGATGTGCCAAGACTACTTCTGCCCCTGCTTTCCCTGCTAGCTTGAGACTCCAGCACCCTGTCTTGCTGAGCCAGATGCGCCAGTCTGCTCCAACACAGTCCCAGGGTCTGAACGACATACCCCAAAGCTGCAGACTTAGCTGAAAGCAACTTAAGAAGTGTTTGTCTTTAACACACAGATGCCCAACTCCCAATGGGTCCAAACAAATCAATTTTGCCCTGTATAAAAGCTTATACAGGGTAAACTCTTAAATTGTTTGCCCTCTATAACACTGATAGAGAGATATGCACAGCTGTTTGCCCCCCCTCCTCCCCCCGCCTCCAGGTACTAATACATACTCTGGGTTAATTAATAAGTAAAAAATGATTTTATTAAATACAGAAAGTAGGATTTAAGTGATTCCAAGTAGTAACAGACAGAACAAAGTGAATTACCAAGCAAAATAAAACACTCAAGTCTAAACCTATTACAGTAAGAAAACTGAATACAGATGAAATCTCACCCTCAGAGATGTTTCAATAAGTTTCTATCACAGACTGGATGCCTTCCTAGTCTGGGCCCAATCCTTTCCCCTGGTACAGTCCTTGTTCCAGCTCAGGTGGTAGCTAGGGGATTTCTCATGATGGCTGCCCACTTTGTTCTGTTCCACCCACTTATATATCTTTTGCATAAGGCAGGAATCCTTTGTCCCTCTGGGTTCCCACTCTTCCTTCTCAATGGAAAAGCACCAGGTTAAAGATGGATTCCAGTTCCGGTGACATGATCACATGTCACTGTAAGACATCATTACCCACTTGCCAGCCCACAGGTATACAGGAAGACTTATAAGTAAAACAGAGCCATCTACAGGTAATTGTCCTGGTTAATGGGAGCCATTAAGATTCCAAACCACCATTAATGGGCCACACTTTGCATAACTATAATAGGACCTCAGAGTTATATTTCATATTTCTAGTTTCAGATACAAGAATGATACATTTATACACATAGGATGACCACACTCAGTATAGAATCATAGAATATCAGGGTTGGAAGGGACCTCCGGAAGTCATCTAGTCCAACCCCCTGCTCAAAGCAGGACCAATCCCCAATTAAATCATCCCAGCCAGGGCTTTGTCAAGCCTGACCTTAAAAACTTCTAAGGAAGGAGATTCCACCACCTCCCTAGGTAACGCATTCCAGTGTTTCACCACCCTCTTAGTGAAAAAGTTTTTCCTAATATCCAACCTAAACCTCCCCCACTGCAACTTGAGACCATTACTCCTTGTCCTGTCATCTTCTACCACTGAGAATAGTCTAGAACCATCCTCTTTGGAACCACCTCTCAGGTAGTTGAAAGCAGCTATCAAATCCCCCCTCATTCTTCTCTTCTGCAGACTAAACAATCCCAGTTCCCTCAGCCTCTCCTCATAACTCATGTGTTCCAGACCCCTAATCATTTTTGTTGCCCTTCACTGGACTCTTTCCAATTTATCCACATCCTTCTTGTAGTGTGGGGCCCAAAACTGGACACAGTGTTCCAGATGAGGCCTCACCAATGTCGAATAGAGGGGAATGATCACGTCCCTCGCTCTGCTGGCTATGCCCCTACTTATACATCCCAAAATGCCATTGGCCTTCTTGGCAACAAGGGCACACTGCTGACTCATATCCAGCTTCTCGTCCACTGTAACCCCTAGGTCCTTTTCCGCAGAACTGCTGCCTAGCCATTCGGTCCCTAGTCTGTAGCGGTACATGGGATTCTTCTGTCCTAAGTGCAGGACCCTGCACTTATCCTTGTTGAACCTCATCAGATTTCTTTTGGCCCAATCCTCCAATTTGTCTAGGTCCCTCTGTATCCTATCCCTACCTGCCACCGTATCTACCACTCCTTCTAATTTAGGATCATCCGCAAATTTGCGGAGAGTGCAATCCACACCATCCTCCAGATCATTTATGAAGATATTGAACAAAACCCTTGGGGCACTCCACTTGATACCAGCTGCCAACTAGACATGGAGCCATTGATCACTACCCGTTGAGCCCGACAATCTAGCCAACTTTCTACCCACCTTATAGTGCATTCATCCAGCCCATACTTCTTTAACTTGCTGACAAGAATACTGTGGGAGACAGTGTCAAAAGCTTTGCTAAAGTCAAGAAACAATACATCCACTGCTTTCCCTTCATCCACAGAACCAGCAATCATAGAAGACGATTAGATTAGTCAGGCATGACCTTCCCTTGGTGAATCCATGCTGACTGTTCCTGATCACTTTCCTCTCATGTAAGTGCTTCAGGATAGATTCCTTGAGGACCTGCTCCATGATTTTTCCAGGGACCGAGGTGAGGCTGACTGGCCTGTAGTTCCCAGGATCCTCCTTCTTCCCTTTTTTTAAAGATGGGCACTACATTAGCCTTTTTCCAGTCATCCGGGACTTCCCCCGTTCGCCACGAGTTTTCAAAGATAATGGCCAATGGCTCTGCAATCACAGCCACCAATTCCTTTAGCACTCTCGGATGCAACGCATCCGGCCCCATGGACTTGTGCACGTCCAGCTTTTCTAAAGAGTCCCTAACCACCTCTATCTCCACAGAGGGCTGGCCATCTCTTCCCCATTTTGTGATGCCCAGCGCAGCAGTCTGGGAGCTGACCTTGTTAGTGAAGACAGAGGCAAAAAAAGCATTGAGTACATTAGCTTTTTCCACATCCTCTGTCACTAGGTTGCCTCCCTCATTCAGTAAGGGGCCCACACTTTCCTTGGCTTTCTTCTTGTTGCCAACATACCTGAAGAAACCCTTCTTGTTACTCTTGACATCTCTGGCTAGCTGCAGCTCCAGGTGTAATTTGGCCCTCCTGATTTCATTCCTACATGCCCGAGCAATATTTTTATACTCTTCCCTGGTCATCTGTCCAATCTTCCACTTCTTGTAAGCTTCTTTTTTATGCTTAAGATCCGCAAGGATTTCACCGTTAAGCCAAGCTGGTCGCCTGCCATATTTACTATTCTTTCGACACATCGGGATGGTTTGTCCCTGTAACCTCAATAGGGATTCCTTGAAATACAGCCAGCTCTCCTGGACTCCTTTTCCCCTCATGTCATTCCCCCAGGGGATCCTACCCATCAGTTCCCTGAGGGAGTCGAAGTCTGCTTTCCTGAAGTCCAGGGTCTGTATTCTGCTGCTTACCTTTCTTCCCTGTGTCAGGATCCTGAACTCGACCAACTCATGGTCACTGCCTCCCAGATTCCCATCCACTTTTGCTTCCCCTACTAATTCTTCCCGGTTTGTGAGCAGCAGGTCAAGAAAAGCTCCCCCCCAGTTGGCTCCTCCAGCACTTGTACCAGGAAATTGTCCCCTACATTTTCCAAAAACTTCCTGGATTGTCTATGCACCGCTGTAGTGCTCTCCCAGCAGATATCAGGATGATTAAAGTCGCCCATGAGAACCAGGGCGTGCGATCTAGTAGCTTCTGCGAGTTGCCGGAAGAAAGCCTCATCCACCTCATCCCCTTACAAGAGACCTTTTACATGAAGCATATTCCAGTTACATTATATTCACACTCATTAGCATATTTTTATAAAATCATATAGAGTGCAACATCACAAGGTTTTACCCTTCTCTTTCCTAAATATTGTTCATATTTATTCTTAGTTTGGTTTCTGATTTCCTAAAGTAGGGCTGTATTCAGAGATAATAATCACTTGATAGATTTAGAAAATTAATTTAAATCATTTTAGCCTTTTTAGAGCTCCAAGAACATTCACTGCTATGCTTCTGTGACTACTCTTTTCATTATTAAGTAGTTTAGGGATGAGATTATTCTTTGATTTAGAGAATATTTTATTGGCAGCAAGTTCCAAGTAGATCCTTTCTTTTCATATTCAGTGTATTTAGCATTCACTATCAGCTCTGGGATTTACTGCAAACTCAGAAAAGTCTGTTCTCATATTTTGCCAAAGATTAGAAATTTTAGGTTTTTCTATAGATATAATGAATTGGTTTCTAGAAATCTCTTTATCACAAATGAACTCCGTTTTGCTGAAATTAGACTCATAATATTTTAAAAATTCTCAAGATCTAGTATCAAAGGGATTGAACCAGTTGCTGCGCAAGCAGCATTTACTATGCCCCTCTGTTTACCAGAAAAGAAATGGTTACCTACCTCTCGTAACTGTTGTTCTTCAAGATGTGTTGCTCATGTCCATTCCAATTAGGTGTGCATGCTTTGCATGCACGATTGTTGGAAGGTTTTTTCTCTAGCAGTACCCCTCGGGTCAGCTGTGGAGCCCCCTGGAGTGATGCCTTTATGGTGGTGAATATAGGTCCCTGCCAACCTGCTGCCTTCTCAGTTCCTTCTTGCCGGAATACTCCGACAGAGGAGTAGGAGAGTGGATATTGGAATGGACATGAGCAACACATCTCGAAGAACAGTTACGAGAGGTAGGTAATCGTTTTTTCTTCAAGTGCTTGCTCGTGTCCATTCCAATTAGGTGACTCCCAAGCCGTACTCTTGGAGGAGGGGTCAGAGTTCATCTGGTAGCAGATTGCAGCACTGCCCTGCCAAATGCTGCGTCATTTCTGGACTGTTGCAAAATTACGTAATGTGAGGTGAAGGTATGGATAGAGGACCATGTGGCTGCTCTGCATATATCCTGAATGGGCACTTGAGCTAGAAAAGTGGAAGATGTAGAGTGCACCATCAATGTCGGGGATGGAATCTTGGCCAAGTTTTAGCAAGTCCTGATGCATGGCGTGATCCAGGATGATATGTGTTGGGAGGAGCTGGGAAGCCCTTTCATCCTCTCTGCAACAGCGATGAAGAGCTATGGGGACTTCCAGGGTGTGTCTCACATCCAAGGAAAGCCAGGGTGCATTTCACATCCAAGGAATGAAGCATGTGATCTCTACTATTGATATGTGGCTTGGGAAAAAACACTGGTAGGCAAAAATCCTGATTTATATGCAATTGAGAGACTACCTTAGGGAGAAATGCAGTGTGTGGGCATAGTTGCACCTTGTCTTTATAAAAGACAGTGTAAGGGGGCTCAGATGTCAGTGCCTTGAGTTCGGAGACCCTTCTGGCTGAGGTGATGGCCATGAGGAAAACTACCTTCCAAGACAGGTAGAGCAAGGAACATGTCGCCATGGGCTCAAAGGGGCATGTGTACCTATAAGCCTGGCAAGGTCTAGATTGAGGTCCCAAGGAGGAAGAGGCTGCCTCACCTGAGGATACAGTCTATCAAGCCCCTTGAGGAAGCAGCTTACCATTGGGTTTCCAAAGACCGACCTACCCTCCACCCCTGGGTGAAAAGCAGAGATGGTGGCCAAGTGAACCCTGATCGAAGAGGTCACCAACCCCTGCCATTTCAAGTCAAGCAGATAGTCCAAAATAAATGGGATCTACGTTCGAGGTGCAGGAGTACCCTTCTGCATAGACCAAATCAATAACCGCTTCCACTTGGCGAGGTAAGTGGCTAGAGTAGAGGACTTCCTGCTTCTGAGAAGGACCTCCTGAACTGAGTTGGAGCACTGAAGTTCAGACTGGTTTAACCATGGAGCTTCTACGCTGTGAGGTGGAGGGACTCCAGGTTGGGATGTCGTAACTGGCCGTGGTCTTGTGTGATGAGGTCCAGGAACAGGGAAAGGGCTACGGGCCTGTCCACTGATAGGTCCAACAGCATGGTGAACCAGTGTTGGCAGGCCCATGCCGGCACTATGAGGATCAACAAGGCCCTGTACAGGCGGACTTTGAGGAGGACCTTGTGTATGAGAGGGAAGGGCGGAAATGCATAGAGCAGGTGATTCGCCCATGACAGGTGAAACGCGTCCGTGATGGAACCTGGGCTGTGGTTCAGGAAGGAGTAGAAGCACTGAAACTTCCTGTTGCTCCGCATCGCGAATAGGTCCAAGTGAGGAAAGCCCCACCTCCGGAAGATGTCCAGGGCGATATCCACTCTAAGGGACCATTCGTGCCCATTGAATGAGTGCCTGAGCTGGTCTGCTAGCTCGTTCTGAGCTCCCGGCAGATATGACGCCTCCAGGTGGATGGAATGGGCGACGCAGAAGTCCCACAGGTTGAGGGCTTCCCGGAATAGGGGAGAAGAGTGAGCACCACCCTGTTTGTTTGTATATAGCATCGCTGTGGTGTTGTCCATCAGTACCGACACACAGCTGCCTTGAAGGTGAGCTTGGAACACCTGGCATGCCAGATGGACCGCCCTCAACTCTCTGACATTGATATGCAGCGATAGTTCTGCCTGGGATCGCATGCCCTGTGTCTTGATAGTGCCCAGATGTGCTCCCCACCCAAGTGCCAAGGCATCCGTGAATATCTAAGGGGCTGCCGAGAGCCCGAAAAGGAGCACCCTAAACTGGTAGTGCTGGGCATTGACCACAAACTGGAGAAATCATCTGTGGGCCAGGATGATGGAGATGTGGAAGTATGAGCCCTTCAAGTCGAGGGTGGTGTACCAGTCCCTCAGACCAGGGAAGGAATGATGTAGGCCAGGGAGACCAAGCAAGACTTTGCTTTCTTTATGAATACGCTGAGGTCTCGCAATTCTAGGATAGGTCGGAGCCCGCCCTTGGCCTTGGGGATGAGGATGTGTCAGGAGTAGAACTCTTTCCCCCTGAACTCCTGAAGAACCTCCTCTATCGCCCTGAGAGCAAGGAGCAATTGCATCTCCTGTAAAAGGAGTTGCTCATGAGAGCGGTTCCTGAAGAGGGCCGGGGAAGGGGGATGGGAGGGTGGGAACAGAATTGGATAGAATATCCCACCTCTACCATGCTCAATACCCAGCGATCTGAGGTAATCTGGGCCCAGGCATGGGAGAAGTGGGACAGACGGTTCACAAATGGGGGAGAAGGATCCGGGAGATGGACTGGTGTTCTGTCCTCGGGTGCACCTTCAAAAATTAGGCTTAGGGCCAGGAGGCTGTTTGGACGAACCATGGCCCTGATCAGAGGATGATCTCAGTGGCCTCCTCCTGTTGTTCCTGCCCCTCCTTCTATTGAAGTCCTGCCTCATGCTCCCCGAATAGAAGCGCTGGGGAGGCTGGGGCTTGAAGGGCTTCCTCCGCAGAGCAGGTGTGTGGATTCCCAGGGACTTAAGGGTTGCCCTAGAATCCTTCAGACTGTGCAGCTGTGAGTCTGTCTGCTCTGCAAAAAGACCAGCACAGTCAAAGGGGAGGTCCTGGATGGTATTCTGAACCTCTGTAGGAAGGCCTGACACCAGAAGCCATGAGCTTCTGCGCATAGTAATCGCAGTGGCCATGGTCCGTGTAACCAAGTCTGCCGAGTCCAGGGCCACTTGGAGGGAGGTCCAAGCCACCATCTTACCTTCCTGGAGTATTGTGGTGAACTCCAAACGGGAGTCCACGGGCAACACCTCCAGGAACTTGGACAGGGAGGCCCAAGAGTTGTAACCAGACCGGCTAAGCACTGCATGCTGATTGGCGACGTGAAGCTGAAGCCCCTGGTCGAATACACCTTGCGACTGAAGAGGTCCAGCTTCTCGGGCTCCTTGGCCTTCGGACTGGGACCCGGCTGTCCTTGCCACTTCTTGTGATTGGCAGCATCCACCACCAATGTGCCCGCCTGGGGATGGGTGAAGAAGTGCTCATACCCCTTCTGTGGAACAAAATATTGGCATTCTACCCCGCCAGCTGTTGGTGGGATAGAGGCTGGATTCTGCCAGAGCACCTTAGTTGTATTTACAATAGTCTTAATAAGAGGAAGGGCCACCCTAGAGGGCCCCTCAAGAGTCAGGATATCAACCATTGGGTGTGAATCCTCTGTGACCTCCTCAGCCTATAGGTTCAAGTTTTGTGCCACCCAGTGA